TTCCTTTTAGGGTCTTTTAGCTTTTTTTACACGACAAATAATCACGTGGCCATATGCTTTTATGTCTGTTTTGTGGACATCTGCATTAAACCATACTTACAAAACGTAGAAATCTGAAGATTCGTTATCTGAATACACGCGTGAACTTAACTACTTAATTCCATTAACTTTTCATAGTACAGTGTATTTCATAAACGAATGAATGAATTAGCTTCATTTCATTAAAATATTTATGATACATTTAACTCCCGCTTCTTTGAAATTTAAAGAATATGATTTCATTATATATTAGTCATTATTTGGTATTCAGTAATTGGCCGATTTAATGTCACGCGTCCGGTAACGCGCTGCGATTGGTCAAGTTATTTTTGGCCGTTATTTTAAATTCATAACAAAAAATATTTGATATAAAAAACTTTCATGCCTTTATGAAATGTACTGTGTGTTTAAGAAATAGTTTGGCATCGTGTCATTACAAGATACTAACCTAGACGGTTTATCATAGTACCTTGTTTCGATTGTTCGTCCTGTAAATCAGAGGCCATCGAGACATTTCTGACTTATACCGCAATGAAAACGATACAAATGGCAGATTCAGGAAACATTTGCATTTCCCGTTACATATAGTGCTGAACAGTGGTTTACACAAATACAAAACGTTTATTGTAAGGGTTGTCATTGGTTCATAGATAATTCGATGCATACCTCGTGACATTGGAATGATCATTATAATGATGTATTTGCCAAGAAACATTGTTACAGTTAGGAACGTAGAAGCAGGGTATTTTGACTCGTTTGACAGGTAACTATTACACAGTAGAGCTACTGGGTAAAAGACCCAGAGAATACACGCGTGCAATAACCACAGAAGGAAATCTTTAATACGTACTAGTCAGCCGTACACCAAGGTGCCCGCTTCCAACTTATAGCCTATTCTAATTCCAATTACAATTGCTTAAGTATCCTTGTAAATACTTACTATGAATATAATATGTGTTTATCATTCAGTAGTATATTCGCCTATAATATGCTTGCTGCTGACGATGCATGACTTAAAGATCGTGGGAAAGCAACATATATGCATCGTCGGAATCCGCGACAGCTTAGCCGTTAACAGAGGTTCCACCTGTTGTGTTTCGATAGAGAGCGCCGGTCTGAACATGCCAAGTGTCCCAAGGATATTCACAGACTATAGTGATATGGCTACACTGGAATTGGAATGTGAACAAAATTAAACGGTATATACATATTCTGAGAGAGCATTTTCTCAAATTTCAGGACGAAATCGACAAGTTACAAGTGATATTGCGAACCATTTACACTTGTACTACATTAATAATTGCGATTTTAACATAGAATCTTATGCAAAAATGCACAATTCCTGGACCAAATCATATGCAAATCGATTGAGACACATAATCCTATGATGTACGTATATTAGCTTTACCATGATTAAATGCGACACTTGTCTTAAATTGATAATATGAGTCATTTTGAAATGGGATTCTATGGTAAAATGTGAAAAATGCAAGCCTTCTGGACCAAGTCACTTGCTAAAATAACATGTAAACATGTAATGCGCGCATTATATTTTTTAGGGTTAATTGCTACAATTTCTTTTTCAATTTATCTTGAAATCATATGCAACATGCAACGGACATCGAGTTCCGAACATCGAATTACATAAACATCGAGTTACAAAAATGACCACGCCCATATTTCAGAAACCATGCCCACTTTTGCGAAACGACGCCCAAATTGTAACTCAATGGAGAATTAACAGTTAACAACCAAAATGTTTGTTAAACGTACACATTTAGTAACTCGACCGAACTTCGACCGAACTATGGTTTAAAAATTATAAATATTTAATGAAATAATGATCATATATGATGGTCATATATCTTGTCAGACAACATAATCTGCAACAGTACTTGTTATATTACAATTATGCATATTACACATGAAACTAATAACAATTAATTAATTAATTAATGCATGGATTTCAACCCTGAAGTAATCAGATTTGTGGATTATTTAAAAGCACCTATGCACCTAGTTTCATTAAAATTTTATCAGTGGTACTCAAGATATCTGTGGAGCACCTATAAATTAATTTATGCAAATTAGTTAATTAGTAAGTACAAAATTTAACCCTAAATTGAATATGTATATGGCTTATCCCTAAATATCTACATGTGTATGTACCATGTTTTATTGAAATCTGTTTAATAGTTCTTGAGACTAGCAGCCTGTCGGCTGATATAGCTCAACTGTTTGTGATGCATGCTCTGAAAGCAATGATTAAGAAGCAATTTAAACTTAATGCTAGCTGCTTTAATATCGCAAGACACCAACTTTCTTGATTTTGTTGCAGAGAATATTTCACTAAAAGTAGAGAAGTGAACAAATCTAACAGAGGTCCACCCACCCAAGGTACCTGTAGGTACAAAGTAGGTACAAGTTATAAAGCAATCAGGTTAGAGGTTTTCAAAAACTAGTGAGGTCTGCGCATTGTTCCAGAGCATCTAAGTACCAAGCTTCACTGAAATCTGTTTAATAGTACTTGAGATATCAGTGTTAGAGCTGAAAATTGTTTAATTATGCAAATTAGATAATTAATATACACAGATTTAAAACATATCATTGGAACAGACACAGACACACCCACACAGATGCACTAACTGCAAAGACTCCCATTGTGTACTTTACACACGGGAGTCAAAAACTATCGATGTAAGTCATTCCCTCAGTACTGTTGTGATTAACTTGTAGGAAAAAGTTACGAGTAAGACAAAGGCTTAACATTCACTGTGAACATGATGCACTTAGTGGCACATGTACAGGTGGCATGGTTCGAATTCAGATAAAGTTATGCAATAACTTTTCAAGTAATATTTATATAGAGTATTTTTTAATTGTATATTGAAGAGTTCCCAAAAAGGCTGATGGCAGTATCAGTATTGGTACCAGTCATGTGACTACATTACTGCTGTTAATAATACTTCAGAACATGGAAGAGATTATTGCAAAGTGTTTTAACTTTGCAAGAATTTTTTTATGAGTTTCACAAGGCCAAGAAAATCACGAAATTTTGCAGCAGTAAATGTTTCTCTGATCACTGACCTTTGCAAAATTTCACATAATTTAATTTCTTGATGACTTCAAAAGATGATGTAATAATAAAAAAAATTAACAACTATATTCATAACTCATTTCAATCAAGAAATGAAAATGCCATTTGATATGTAAAACTTGCTTTATCCCATTAACTTTCTTTTTGTAGTAGTAGTTATCACAACTAATCTGTATTGCTATTAACTGATAGAAACATTGTATTTCTAATGATGCAATACAGTTATTATTATTATCATCAATGTCCCTTAAAAATTCCTAGTTTACAGTTTATGTACTCACTACAAAACTTGAAAGTGTAAGAGAACTAAATACTTGTTTTGCTGTGCCTTTGGATTGATACTTAAGACAGAGACAAAACATTCAGCACTTTTCAGCATGTTACTGTGCATTTATGCAATTCATTCCCACTTTTGAAAATTTGTGAGATACTCGGTACTATCAAATGTCAAATTGTGGAGTAATGACAAATTAGCTGCAGAATATACTTAGGCTTTTGTGTTATATGCTAAATTACAGTTCTGAATGAGACAACAGACAGAGAATGCTTTATTCAAGAACGTCATCAAACCCTTCTTGCTTTCTAAATTAAGCTAGATTTGTCAGTTATATTGTTGATATTTTTTTGTCTAAGGGATAAACCCTCAAGTAATTTCAAAATAAATGGGATGGAAATTTAGGGCAGAATATATCCTTTTCATAAGTTATTCTAGTGAAAACAGCATCAGTTAAAGGGAATGTCGCTTCACATATTTTTTAGGTGGGAATGCAACTTTAAGGAGAGATATTCCCATTGTATATAATGAACAAAATTATCACACTGGAAACTTGAATTGAATGTAAATTTCTTGAAATGATTTAAAAATATTAGGATTCATATATATGCATACGACTTTTCATTCATGTCATAGAGCAAAAATTTGAGAAAAGATGACCAATTTTTCACTTTTGCTCCTAGAAAACTGTTTGGTGACCATTGGGACCACCTCTTTGAGCATCTGTCATTTTGATTGTTCTAGTGATTTAGATGGAAAGTACACCCCCTCCACATCAATCTAAGAACATCTTGGATAAAAATATAGGTAAAGTCATAGGAATACATTTTGCATGTGTTATTAATAATTCTTGAGAGTTTATTGATGCTTACATAATAAGTATGTGACATAATAAATAATTTTATAACAATCTTTTTTATACTCTCATATATCATATGAAATATATACTAAAGATAGAAATATTTCTCAGAGTCGCACCATACAAAGTCTAGACACTACGCACATTAGACTTAATGATTAAATGTCAGTGTGTGTTATAACCAGAGTTTTATTTGGCTGTACATGTGTCTTCAGGATCAACTGAATCAACTGTTATCATCAACTCCTGTCCAAGTTAGCTAAAACAAGCCAACAAATAGATAAACTAATGTATAGCTTCACACGGCAGCTGAAATCTGTCTCTGCACCCTCTGCATCATGTCTCGTTCAATTTTCTTTCTCCTGGTGTGCACCAACCAGCATGAAGACAATCCAGTAACAAGCATCACACCTTCCAAGGCCCAGAACACCTTCTCATTAATCCAACTTGGTTTAGCACAGCTCTTATAAGCTTCAGTTCCTGATTCACATTTGACTTTTTCCTTGTATCCTGTTTTAATACATGCTTCATTGTAGAGCTTCTGCAAGATAAAAAGTACTCTGGTGAGCTTTCTACAGCAGTAATTTGAGGCTATCCAGCTGTTGAAATATCCATAAAAACACAGTGCATGATAACTTTCTAGGCATGATTGTTTCCTAACTAGCTACTAACAAATTTAACATTTTAACTTTGGACAACAGACAGGTCAACCAATTAGAAAATCCTTAGTAAAACAGTAGTCATTCTAGTAAAGTTTCAAATGATGCAAAGGCATCTAATTTGCATAGATCAATCCTTCAAATGCAGCAATCTTTCTTACTAATATTGTTATTTGAGCCAGCAGTTTGTACAGTTTTCATTGTCTACATATTTTGATCAACATTAGAAAAAAAAAAATGTAGATCAGTGGAAGAAGGAATCAATGTATAGAAGAGTTAAGCAAGTGCATTATGGGTAAAACATGAACTGTACATGCAGTACAGAAGAAAAACTAGCCGACAGGGAGGAGCACAAAAGATGCTAGGAAAAAAAACCTGAAGCATGGATAGAAATTTTCCCAAATTCCAAAAAAGAAAGAAAGAAAGAAAGCAAGAAAGAAAGCAAGAAAGCAAGAAAGCAAGAAAGAAAGAAAGAAAGAAAGAAAGAAAGAAAGAAAGAAAGAAAGAAAGAAAGAAAGAAAGAAAGAAAGAAAGAAAGAAAGATAGAAAGATAGAAAAAAAAAAAAAAAACAGCATTAAAAGCATTTCAAATGTTCCATAGTATATGACTGCTAACACTGGAACTAATAATATCTGACTTTTTGAAACTTACATCAAGCGCAATATGTATTGAACAGTGCCATCAAGAATTCAATTCAGATACTAATTAATTATATGCGCATATTTTATACAACACATAAAAAGTTTTGCAATTGCTCTATAGTATATGACTGTTAAGTCTCATGAGAATCTGAGCATCGGTTCTAATAATATCGATGAAACAAGAATTCCATTCATGTGCAAAACCTGATAAGATCTTGCGAATGTCCCAGAACCATAGAATTATATATTGTATGCATAAAACTCCTCACATATACATGATTTTTGAAACAAATGGCCACTCATCAGTCAATATGGATCACATCAATTAATTAATTTGATATTGTATTTTTGTAACAATTAGATGAAATCAAATCCATCCATAAATGAGATTCTGCACAGAATTAATGCTTCATTTTCTCAATTAAAAATGGCCATCAGTCTGCCATCTTGAATGTGAAATTGTGCATGTGATGTGTGTGAGATGAAGTGTTATATATATATATATATAAACATATATGTAAGTAAGGGCATGCCAGAGATATTGCTCCCGAACAACGTTTTAGAGCACAACCAGCTGTTATGAATCATATACAAAAAAACAAAAGTAAACAGTAACAACAGTAATTGGTTGAATAGTTCAGCAATTTAAATTTATTTAATTCATCTTGTTACTTACATAATCTAAATCTTGACATTGTTGGCATTCCTCCCCAACTGTAGAGTATTCTTCTGTCATCCAACATAAAGTATTAGCATAATCCTTGGGAAGTTCATCATCAGTGCATATAATATTACCTATAAAACTGACAGAATGAAGACAGCAGAGTTAGAGATGACACTGGTCACATAGCATATTATGGATCTTGATAATACTCAAAAGTATACATCACTACAAATAATGCATGATCACATGATCAACTATGCCACATTTTTCACTTTTGAAATACCCCTTGTAATTGTATTACAAATATTGCAATAATATTCTAAATAAATGCAATAATTGTGTTAGTTTGTTGCTAAGTTAGATGATGAGGGGCAGTAATATCTTGGATGGCAATATGATAAGGGCAATAAGATCAGTAGGCCAATGCTGTCTTTTGACTATGTACTATAGTTCAAAGTCTCTTCTGAGGAGTCCCATTTTGTACAGTGTCATATTTATTTACTTTTTAGTATATGAACAGAATAAACATTGTACAATGAGCTAGTTTTCACCATTTTGTTCTTGCGCTCGAAGAAAAGAACAAATAATTGCATTACATAGTTTCAGTGAGTTAGCAAGTTTAAGAAAAATATATAATTTAAATATGAATGGGCCAACACATGTCAGAGATATGGCTCCAGAACAGCATTCATAGGAACAAAATAACCACAAGTCAGCCATTTTGAATCTGTGTATCAAAGTCCTATGACGTTCATCAACGAATAATGTGTATATGTATCCAACAATGCATGATGTGTGACATTTGAATGTGATTGGTCCACCCAGACACAGGTGGGATGCACACTCACACAATGGTCAAAACACAAGTCCCAGACTCTGTTTTCAGACTTCATTCAAACAGGGATTAATAAATAGTGTGGTTCTAACAATATGCACTTCAAAAACAGATTTTAATTTTTTTAATTGCTTTTTACAGTAATTACAGTAAAGTTTCCTCAATTTGGGCAAAATTCGTGGATAAAATGCACTCATTTCATTTAAGTCTTACTGAAACTATGTGTAATAATAATAATAACAACTACAGATTGTGGTAATAATGATGCATTTTGGCAAGCTAACTCGTAACTCAAGATGTTGCTGATTTAAAAGACTATCATTGCACAACAAAATTGTAGGTACTTCAACTAAATTAAAGCAGGAGGGTCATCACCTGCACACGTGCTGGAATTGAGTCCCAAGCGACGATAACAACACACGCTAATAACGCAAAGGCTCATGGGTAGATGCTTGTTTGTAAACACGCTATGACATGCTATGGCCATCTGACGCATGCGCAGGTGACGACTCCCCCGCTTTAAGCTTCTGCCAAAGTGGTGGTCGTCGCATGATGTCCTGTTTGATATGGAAATCATAGCTATGCATACACAAGTAAAATAATACATTTGTTTACATGTAAACAGGATGACCACTTTCCTAAAATGGCATGTAGTTATTTCAATGTGTTTCATAGTAATATCCAAATTTGAAAGTTGGATAAAACCAACGAAAAACAATGACCAAAACAACAACAAGTGCACCAGTTGGTTCCTGGGCTTAAAACAGGCGATATCCCCATGAATTAAACACCCAATGGTATCTGAAAGTGTGTTTTGAAAACACACACTGTATTATTTTTTACTGCCTGATCTTATGTTATTTTAAAGTTCTGTTTTTTTACTTTTCCTTTCATTACTTTCAGCCAAAAATGAATTTATAATTTTTAAATATTACTGTGTAATAAAAGTTTATTATTATTATAATGAACTCTCACGGTCCTATGTTTTGAATTCATATCAGATTTTACGCTCGATGCGCATCTCTCACTATATATCGTATAAAATTGATTCGTTATTTAATATAGCGACTAAGGGTGTAATTCATTATTGGTATACAGTAAGTAGTAATGTTAACGTCGACACCGAACTTGAAAAAGTACTGAGAAATAATTTTAAACTCATAGTTGCTGTTGACATTAGCTGCA